TTTTTTTTGGAAGTAGGCCAGAAGCAACTAGTTAGAGCTCAGACATTTGACCCTCTCAACCAAAAAAGATGTGGATATGCCCTGATCTCTGGTGGGTAAAGAGAGTTTTCATCCACCAGGCCCTCTTAGGAACCGTATCTGCTAGTAGGAGGTGGGTCTAGGATTTGGCTTCCTTAAGATTTCAAGTAGTCCATGAATTTATAGCACTTACATTTCACCCTTGTGCACTGTGAAAATGCCCCCAAAATATAGCTGTTAAAAATACTACTCCTGATCATCTCAGCTGTGGATAGATTAAAGAAAATTGCTTGAGCATATAACTAACATGGAATGAAATGGCACACTTTTGTCAATTTTGATCAATGATGATACCAAGGAATTAATCTCTCTATTAATGTTTTTCCTATTATTCTTGTTAGTATCATCTTTCTAAAAAATCTCATTCAATTTAGAGGGAAGTTTTAGTCTTGGGCACGATTTGCCTTATGTCACTGCCTTAGCTCAAGCCCACATCATTTCTTAACTAAATTTGCAGTAAACAGCCTCTGACTTGAGAGCCCTTCTTCTAGGCTTCCAATCAGATCCCGTATCACTGCCAACGTTTTTTGTTTTCTTTTTTATAAAAGTCCTCACATCTGTTCTTATGACTTATTCACTTAAGACTCTCTAGTAATTCCCTTCATAACTTACAGAGTAAAGCCCAAATTCCTATTGTCCTTACATGGTCTGTCAAAATCTGGTGCTGCCTTTCTCTGTAGTCTCATCTCCTACTCCTTGGCAAAACATGGTGCTCAGCTAACACCCAGCTCTTCTCTGTGTCCCCTGCTCTTTCTCATCTCTGTGTGGTTGGTGCACAGCTTTTCTATCTATGATTCCCCACTCCATGTTGTTGTGTACTTGGTGATCTGCTCCTTATCCCTGTTGCCTTTTCTGTGATGTTTTATAAGGATCTCTGATCTAGGATAGATGGTTCTTATTTGGGGTTCCCACAGCAACCTTTCCTCACCTCAATTATATCTCATCATTTTGTGCTCAACTGTTCATTGATTCTTTGCTCCCCTCCTCCCACCCACAAATAAACTATGACCTAACCTCATGAAGACTGAAACTGAGCTTGTTCATGTGTGTATTCCAAAGCAAGGCACAGTAACTAACAGATAGTAGGTGCCTGATAAATGTGTTTGAATGAATTTTTCTAAATCATATTTTCTGATCTTCAAAGTTCAACCATCAAAAGATGTGATTCTATATGATAACTCTGATCTTGTCATGGGAAGGATGCTTTTTAGATTCAACATAATTCTAAAAAGGGGATTGTGAGGGTGAAAAAAGAGCCGAGCTGTGGGTGTTTCCAATATCTTAGCAGAAAATAATGCTTTCTTCCCAGCCTAGCACAGATGTTTGCCTATTAAAGAAAGACAGGTGATGTGTTCACTGACACTAAGTGTGTCTTGGCACATGGAGGGACATGACATACACAGATCTAGCTATTGCTTTCCTTGCAAATGCACCAACATGAAAGTTTAGATGAGCCAAGAGGCTATTTGCCCCCTCCTGCTCAATATGATCTCTTTTTATGCCTGTATTTCTCTAAGTGTGTTCAGTTGGCTCGTATTCCCAAAAGATGCTGCAAAAAAGAATTCTCTGGTTGGGCCGGCCCAGTGGCGCACTGCTACAGTGTGCCGCTTGAGAAGCACGGCGGTGCTCCCACCAAGGGTTCGGATCCCACATACAGACCGGTTCCCGCTCACTGGCTGA